AAAAGTTAAGGGGATGTGGTCAAAGACCAGTCACTCCTTTTGGAGGTCCTTAATAGGCTTTCTTTTGCTTATTTCTTTTGGCCCCTGGGCAGTTCAGAGGCTTACATGCTTTATCAAGCAGCAGGTCGAATCCATAGCCTCCTGTCCCATACAAGTCCGTTATCAAAGACTGCAAATGGCCGATAAAGAAAATCTTTGATGATACAGGCTAATAAACCGAGCAGCCAAAGACGGGTAAGAGATACCGGCCCCTGTTTCAACCTAAGACAGGCACCCCTCCATAGCAGCTGGGTTAGCCCATGACGGGTAAGATCAGTAGGTGCGGTGTCCAACCTAAGACAGGCGCCGGTTTCATACCTGGTCAAACAGGAGAGCACCAAAGGTAATCCTGTTGGCTTTTGCAATCTTCAAATAATTATTGAAAGAAGGGAGGATCTGCTGGAAGCCATTTTGTAATTCTCTGAAGCCATTTTGTATTCTCTAAGAACATGTTTGGACATGTTGCACCTCCCTGGGAGGATAGGTTTTGGTTTACTGGGACCACCCTGCTAAGTTTCTGTTCACCAGATAACTTTCAGCTTACTGGAAACGACATGCTATTCTCCCCCATTGTGTACTTCTCCTCCCCCATTGTGTTCCTATATATAAACTGTGAATGCTTTCAATAAAATGAAGACTTGATTGGAGATTCTCGACTTGTCTTCCTGCTTTTGTGCCTCCTGCACCCCCCCCCCAATTCTCTTTCTTCCCCTCCTAGGGTCACCAGTTGAAGATCCCTGCCGGCAGGGGCAACTGCCAACCCAAAAGTACACAAGTGGAATCCACCAGCTGATCCACAGAAAAGATTGACAATCTCCTCTCTATGATTTACCGCCTCTGAAAAATCTACAGAAGGATCAACCTATGAGTTTGTTCTAACTCGATGGTTCATAACTACAACATTCCATACATTTAACCAGTAAAGAGATAATGAGTCTGAATGGATTTAGACAGCAAAAGCTGGGCATCCATTCCCTGCATTTCTGGTCTCACAGAACATGCTAGAAGACAATGTGCACAGGGGGTCTCATTTTCTGAGACGCTAGGCAAGTCTGGGCTTTCACAACAAACCTGAGAGTACATGTTACCTTGATTTTTGCCCACTAGGTGGTTGCCTCACTCCAGTCTGTCCATTAAGGAACTTCAACTCTATAAACTGTTTTACAAATTTACAGAGGAATCTTATGGGAAACCTTAAAAGGCAAGCAAGGAGTAAGGTACTAGGCTGTGCATGCAGCCGAAAGTAGGAAGATAGGTAAGAAACATCCTCCGGTAGGTTTCTACAGGACAGGGAGAAATTTCCCCAGAACTGCTCCATAATATTTATTGCCTCCTATCCATTAGGGCATATTGGAGTCTATAGGAATTACACATTTTTGGAAATACGTAAGATTGTGAGGGTGCATGCAGAGCTTAGACCAATTTCTGAATTACGACAACATCTTATTCACATTCACAGTGTGCCTTCGGGATTGCAGCGTGGATTCTTACTAGCAAACCATAGCTCCACCTATTTTCCAAGCTGCACTTTGCTTTGCTTTGTGAAGGGAGAAAGATGAGAGCAGGCTGAGTGCTGATAATGAGAACTTGATAGTCAGCGTTAATAGAGTTTTTTTCCGCGGGGGTGGAGTCCAAAGTGAAACAGATGCGGAGGACAGAAGCAGAGGTTCAGGAGCCGCGGAGCTTCTGGAGGCGGTGCGAGCGCAGGGGGGCGGCGCCGGCTCCCATTGGCCAGCGGGCGCTTCTTCTGGTGCGGCGGCCACGCTCCGCGGGAGAGTCGCCTTGCACAGCCTTGGAGACGACAGCGGCCTGGGCCACTCACTAAGGAAACATGGCTGAGTACACGAGGCTGCAGAACTTCCTGGCGCTGATTCGCCTGCGAAACCCGCCGGTCAACGCGATCAGGTAACGGAACCCGTACCTTCCAGCCAGGACACCCCGGCTTTCACTCTGCCGTCACTTTAAACTAAGAAAGAAACAGACACTTACTGAATATCGTACATATGCAGGACATTTTTTCTTTTAAATAGAAGTTAGTTTGATTCATCTCAAAGAGCTCTTGTCTCCATTTTTTACTGGTAAGGAAACCGAGGTTGAGACAGAAAGCAACTAAGCGGGGATCTGCTCTTTACCTGAGTTTGTCGATGCCAACTTTGTGCCGGACACTACTGCTTGTTGACAACTTTTGATTTTTCAGGAGTAGTATCTATGCCAAAGAGCTTGATTTCATGCAGTCCGGGACTTCGCCCTCTCACTTTCAACCTGAAATCCAGGCTGCCCTGAAACTTGTACTTTGCTTAGCAAAGTAAGAGTCTAGTGAAAAAGAGGAAGATCCTCTACTAGTGGAATTAACACCATGACTGCAACATTTGGCACAGCAGTGATTGTTAGAAAGGTGCAGGACCCAGCAGTTTTATTCTGCAGTGCATAGTGTCCCTAAAAGTTGAATCTGACCTAATAGCATGTAACAAGGACTTTAGAACTGGCAAGATAGTAACACATTGTCCTGAGTTGTTGTTGTTAAGTACTATGGAGTCAAGTAGACTCATAGTGACCTTATGAACAGCCAACCTGAAGCCTGCCCTATCTTGTATCACCCTTATCATCTCTGAGACACCAGAGCCTGTTGCGGAAGTCACAGGGTCAATCCATCTCGTTGGGGGGGCTTTCCTCTTTTACTGACCCTCCAATTTCTCAAGCATGATGTCCTTTTCCAAGGAATGGCCTCACCTAGTTACATCCAAAGTATGAAAGATGCAGTTTTGTCATCCTTGCCTCCAAGGAGCATTCTGACTTCACCCTTTGCAGGACACATCTGTTGGCAGTCCATTCAGTACTCTTCTCCAGCACCAAAACTCAAAGGCATCAATCTACACTGGCAATTAATAAAAAAACTCATTTCCATCAAGTAAATTCTTATGCAAAGTGGAGCCTCCAACAGACTTTTCAAGAGGCTATAAATCACACAGGGAGGAGATGGTCTGTCTTTCTCTCCTGGAGTCACGTATAGATTCAAACAGCTGGATTTGTGCAGCCTTTAAGTTAGAGGGAAATTCTTTCTGGACTGCTCCACTAGAGATCTTTAACAAGGCCCAGGTTATTGCCAAGGCAGTGAGCAAAGGAGAATAATGTTCAGAAATGTTCGTGATTTCTCCTGATCTATTTTAGATGTCTGAAATAGGGAGCGCTGGTTGCCTGGTGGGTAAGGAGTTGTGCTGTAACAGAGGAATGCAGTTGCTCCAGCTGTGACAGGAGAAAGATGAGCAATCTACTCCTGGGAAATTTACAGCCTCTGAAAACCTACTGGAGGGTCAGATATGGGTCAGTTCTGACTTAAAGGCAATGAGGTTTTTGTTTTTTTCTGATTCCAGATCTCAAGGCTTTAGGGCGTCAGTGAAAGTTCCATGTTACAAAATTAGTGTGTGCTATCAAGTCCTAACTGACCCACAGCTGACCCTCCGGCCACTTTTTAGAGGCAGTAAATCACACCAAAAGAGATTGCTCATCACTTATGAAATGACATTTTCTGAAAAACTACTGTACAGTTTATAATGACATTTTCTGAAAAACTGCTGTACATTTTATCATCTTTTTATCAGTTTATTTTTTTAGAATGTTTTTGCTAAACTCACTAACCTAGATTATGCAACACAAAGAGCACGAGTTTTGAAGTCATATTAAAGTTGCCTTTTAGGAAATGAGTGATTATAAGTTTGGTCCTTCCATATCCCTGAGGGGAGGGGTGCAAAGGGTATGGAGACATAGTTAACCTTAGGAAGAACCACCATCCACAGAGTAGGAGGAGAAGAAATTAGCACAAAGACTCATGTTATATAAAGTGCAAACTTTTGATCAAAATCCTTTTTACAGATCACTGAAGCAAAAAGATTTGAGAGGTTGTGCCTTTGGTTTGAGTGAAAGTTTACAAAGCAAGTTAATTTTTTTTTATTAAATTTTATTAGTATTAATGAACATTTACAGGGATTTGGGGTTTTCATTCCTTCATTGCTGTACCATTCTCTCTAACCTCTTCCCCAGTTTGTTCTTCTTGCCCCGCCCTCCGAATGTCTGTTTTAATTGTCCAAATGCCACAGTGCTTGTCAAAGCCAGTTCTGTTTAATCTCCTTTGTCAGCGTGTCTTTTGCCATTCCCTATCACTCCTCCCTGAGAGAGACTTCACCCTGATTTATAAGAAAGCAAGTTAATTTTTAACTCAACCATTCATATACTTGTTCTGTAATATTAATTTCAGTACTCACAATGAAATAGCACTTTTCCTGCTTCCTCTCTATATTTCTGATTTCCATCAATCCTACTATACTTTTGTCTTACCTTTCTTTAGTAACAGTGTGATGATCGTCTCCTTGTTGTATATTGCTTTTTCCTTTGTCCATCTTAACATGTGAATATTATCTAGTTACTCATTTTTTACCTCCCTCCCTTTTGATCCCTCATAATCATCCAAGAACGAGTCTAGCTGTGTGTAAATATTGTTTTAACTTTTGTATTGTTGTTGTGTTGATTGCCATAGAGTTCAGCACAGCTCATAGTGACCCTATGGACAAAAGGCCTGAAGCCTTTCTATGACTATCATCATTTATCAAAGTTCCAGAGTTTCCAGAGGCATGTTGTTTAGGAAGTGGATACCACGATCTCATATAGTATTTGTCCTTTTATCTGTGATTTATTTCACTTAACACAATGACATCTAGATTCATCCATGTTAGGCAGTATTTCATTCATTTTATATTGTTTTTCAGGGTTGTTTATGTATGAATGTACTATCATTTATGTATTATTCATCACTGATCAATGCCCCATTGTTCCTATCTCTTTTCTATTGTAAATAATTCTGCACTGGACTTGGGTGTACATTTATCAGTTGATATCACAGCTCGGATTTCTTTAGGATGGTAATGAGATTCTGGATCAAATGGTTATTTCTCTTCCCAACTTCTTTTTTTTTTAAAGACACTTATTCAGTGTTGTGATTATTACATTTTAGCAATCAACAGCATTGGGGAAGGGGAATATCTACATTAAAACACTTTTGTTTATGGAATGCTTTACACTTTCCACAGAACAGAACCTAAAATAACCTGTTCTACAATTAGTCATAAATACAGTTCTCGAGGTTTTTCCCCCTATACACGAGTACTGTGTAAAACGTACTCTTTGTAGTGACCAGGGCCTGCCACCACCATACTTGGCTGAGGTCACAAATCTGTTGTAACCTGTAGTTTCCTTGTCACTTCCCTGACTCCTCTCCTGCCAACCTCGTAGCTATTAAAACTGTCTGCTGTTGCTGTAGCTCCTGCTGCTACTTGAACCACCATAGCCACTTCAGTTTTGTCTTTTGGACAGTTGACCACTACCATCACAAGGGCCAGAGCTTCTGGCACCAAAGTTTCCTCCCTTCATCGGTCCAAAATTTGAAGATTGATTGTTGTAATTACCAAAATCATTGCAGCTTCCACCACCTCCAGAATTGCTTCCATCATTACCAAATCCATTATAACCATCCCTACTGCCTCCACCACCATGGCTACCACCAAAGCCACCCTGTCCCCTGAAGTTCCTTCCTACCCCAAAGTTGTCATGCCCACCAAAACCACCTCCACGGCCACCACCCAAGTTTTCATAACCACTACAACCTCTTTGGCTGAAAGAGGCTCTGGCCATCCCTTGCTTTGACAGGGTTTTCCTTCACAATTGTGACCACATACAGTGTAGTATTTCTGAATAATGATTTTATCTACAGAGCAAAGTCCATCTTCTTGCCACTGCCTCGGGCAGTCATGATTTCAATCACTTCAATTTTCCCTACTTCTCAACACAATCTCATAAGTGATGTTCTTCAGTATCTTCTTTAGTTCTGCCAATGTAGTTCTTTTTCATGGTTCAGTGGGCACCTGGTCTTTGAGCATCTTCTCTTGAGACAGCCCTCTTAGGTTCCACAACCCTTCCATCCACCTTGTGGGTCCTTCCATTCATGGCTGCATCCACCTGTTTCACAGTTGAGTATGTGACAAACCCTATACAAAGCCTCTGGAGCGCTTGGTATTTGGATCTCTTATTACCACATAGTCCATGAGTGACCCCCATTACTCAGAATGGCTCCTCAGACTTCCATCTGTCTTTTCTCTTTTCAACCGAGTAGCTATCATCCCTGGGTTATTCTAGTTCTGTAATTGTTTATTATTAATTGTAATATTTCACAATGAAATATTAATGACAATATTAACATTAAAGATGAAAATAAATTTTGAGGACAATAAGATAAACAATTTAGTTAAAATTTACAGATATTCTTCATCCTAAGAAAGTTGGGAAGAACTTTTGCTGGAGAACACTACGGAGGAAGCATTGCTAAAGTCTTTATTTCCACAGCCATCATGTCGAAGTCAGTCTCCTAAAGAGCCTGAAACAAACAGGACAGACATAAACTGATGATTATAGGACTTACTAGGAATTAACCCGCTACAATTCCAGTTCAAGGACAACTCAGGATACAGAACGTATTCTTTGGAAAGAAAAGCCTCTTTCAGCCATGTCCAAAGTCAGCCCTCTCTCTGGTCTTCAGACGTGGATTTGTGACCTCTACTTTGCTCAAGTAAATGCTATAAGGCTCCATTAGCTGCCAATTTAAGCACCCCAAAGTACCAGCTAGCAAACCTGAGCCTAACAGTGCTCAGCTCTCATTCCATGGTTTGGCAAACCTAGCTCCCTGACCAATGTTTAAAGGCACCCACTGTGCCAGTAAGCTGCCTACTCAGAGGCATGCAGTTCCATGGTTCAGGAAGCCCACAGCTCTGACTCACGCGGTTCTCTGGGTTCTGCTCCCTCTGCTGCCGCCCTTTCTCTGCCCTGTCACTAATCTCCTGCATAGAGGAAGTTACAGCACA